GTGACAACTAGTCCTTTTGTAGGAAAAAGGCACAATGACGCAAGAAAAAGGGAATTATGTATGGAATTAGTTTCCTGTAAAATGTGTATGTGACACACATCTCCAGCCATGTTCACTTCACAAGAGACTAAACCAGGAAATAATCTTTATGAATAATGGTAACATTTTGGGGGCACTTTTGGCACCATCTCTGTTGCTCTGGACACACATGAACCATAGTATAAATCTTGGGTTTGCCTCAGTCGCTATGCAGATGTTCTCAAATGTAAGGGCTGATTCTTGACATTTTGGGGGTTGAAGTAGATCCAATCCTAGGTCTCACAACCGGTTTAAGTTCTGGGTCTGAGTCGGCTCTTTTCTTGCCTCTCCTGGTCTCCGTCTTGGCGATTTCTTTCCAATTCACAGATTCGCAAAATAAAGCACTCTTCTAGATGATAAGATTTAGTCCTCCATGCCTCTCTGTTTACGCTTTCCAAAGACCCTTAGAAATATATTAAAAAAGCAAATTTAGTTGAAGTCCTCCTCAAAATGTCGGGCGCAACTTCTCTATGGTAATTTCATGTAGAGTAGGTCAAATTGATACTTTGCAGGCCCTTCCTTCCGCATACAACTCACTTCCGGTCCGGCACCTTTAAAAGTTCCACTGTCTTCCTTTCGCTAATGCCCGTCTAGGAATTCAACTTCCTGGATGTTTCACACGGACCTCTTTCTTTGTGACACCAGCCTGCTCTTCCCACGCTATTGTTCGTGAGTTTCGATTTTACAGTTGCGCACACGGCTCCATCTTCACCACAGGAATGTTAAACAATAAGCGTTTTTACAGTTTTTAAAGGCTTCAATCAACTTTTTTCTCTCCGGAATCGGATTTCTGGGATTTACTATTCATTTTCCGCTCAACCGCTTAATTCAAATTGACTCCAAACTCAGTTCAGGTAAGCGGCACGTTTTTGTTATCTAGCACGTTCAAAACGGGTTTCGCATTGTTTCTTTTAACTCACAGTTGTTGTCCTTCTTCAAAGAGATCGGCTGACGGAGAATTTATGCCGGTAATCCGGCTCGATCGGCCACTATAGAGTTGCTTGGCACTTGCCTTCTTCGTGGGAGGAGGTCAAAGCCCAATTCAGCTTCTTCCGAAGCTGGATTACGCCAACCTCACACTCCCTCTAGGGCGCTGCTGCCTGCTTGTCCCCCCCCCTCGCTGGGGAGTGATGCGTTGGGCTGTGTATTGCCCAAACTGTCAAAAGTGGCCGTCGCTCGCTTCGCACGATCGCGAAACGCTTCAGTCCTCCATCTTAGCCAGACCGGAAGCCTCTGTTTACCTTGTTTGTTGTCAAAACCCTGGGCTTTTTTTGTAGCAGGAACTCCTTTGCATGTTAGGCCACACACCCCTAATGTAGTCAATTCTAATGAGTTTCTGCTGTTGGGTGTGGCCTATTATGCTAATGAGTTCCTACTGGGCGTGGCCAGCTCGGGAGCCAGCCGGAACTCCGTTCCTGTGCGTTCCTGCCCAAAAATAGCCCTGGACCTGCGTCTTCAAGATCCTAGTCTGGTGCTCTGTCCATTGCACCACACTGGCTTATCTGCTAATTACTGTTTTCATCTGTTCAAATAATTTCTATGGTTTTCTTCTGTGAAATTGTGTGTGTGTGTGTATGCATGCGCCTAGTGAGTAAAATCCAGGCTCTGGAAACGCCCAACATTTCACCCTCTTATGTCTTGCAGGGACCCCCATGGCACTGAAATTTGTACATAAAAAAGACACAGAGCTGCAAGATTTCCTGAGCGAATACTGCATTGCGCTGACCCTGGGGGCTCATCCCTGCATCGCCACAGCCCTTGGCATAGCCTTCCAGACCCCGCAGCACTATGTCTTTGCACAGGAGCTGGCCTTGGCCAATGACTTCTTCTCACTCATGGTGCCACAGGTAACTCAAGCCAAGAAGCCAGGTCTACAACACATCGAGTTCAGTTTACAGTTGGTTGGGCACTAGCGCCCCCTAGGGCAATTATGCCTGCAAAAGTTCTCCACCTTCTGTCTCCCCACGCCCACTTCTTCCCACACTTTTTCAAACGGCTGCATAAGAGGAGGGTATATGAGAAAGTGCAGACTCCCCTGAATCACTCCCATGCACTCCCATGCATTTCTGCCATCCTCTCTCTGGTCATCTCAAGCAGTACCAAGGCTTGCTTTTTACATCTGATGCAATAAAAGTACCGCTGAGCATGTGCAGAGATCCCTAATGCCATCTCACCACAGAGTAAGCTCTCCTAAACACTTCACGGCCCTGTATAGATTTTAGTTCCTGATTACTGGGGACTAGCAACTTGCACCTGTAAGAATGAAAAATGTGCAAGAGACCCAGAGTGAAATACTGATCTCTTGTCAGACTGGGACCTGAGAAATGGGGGTCTAAATCCTCATTCTGCTATGAAGCTTGCTGAGTATCACTGGACCAGTCCTTTTCTTTCCACTAAACTTACCTCCCAAGGCTCTTGTGAGGATAAAATGGGAAAGGGAAAACCATGCAGGCCACCCTGAATTCCTTGGATATAAATATGATTAGATAGATAGATTAGATAGATTATATGATTAGATAGATAGATTAGATAGATTATATGATAGATAGATAGATTAGATAGATTATAAGATGGATAGATGGATAGATAGGATAGATAGGATAGATAGGATAGATTGGATGGATGGATGGATGGATGGATGGATGGATGGATGGATGGATGGATAGATGGATGGATGGATGGATGGATGGATGGATGGATAGATGGATGGATAGATGGATGGATAGATGGATGGATAGATGGATGGATAGATGGATAGATAGATGGATGGATAGATGGATGGATAGATGGATAGATAGATGGATAGATAGATGGATAGATAGATGGATAGATAGATGGATAGATAGATTAGATGATAGACAGACAGACGGATAGACAGACAGACTCATAGAATCATAGAATCATAGAACCATAGAATCACGGAAGGGGCCACATAGGCCATCCAATCCAACCCCCTGCTCAAAGCAGGATCAGCCTAGAGCCACCCTGAGGAATAAGTGTTTGTTCAACCACTGCTTAAAGACTGCCAGTGAAAGGAAGCTCACCAACTCCCTAGGCAGCTGATTCCACTGTTGCACAGCTCTTACTGTAAAAAAGGTTTTCCTGATATCCAGCCGGTACCTTCCTGCCCTTAATTTAAACCCATTATTGCAAGTCCTATCCTCTGCTGCCAACAGGAACTGTTCCCTGCCCTCCTCTGACAGCCCTTCAAATACTTCAAGAGAGCAATCATGTCCCCCCTTAATGTCCTCTTCTCCAGACTGAACATTCCCAAACCCCTCAGCCTTTCCTCATAGGGGTTGGTTGACAGAGAGAGAGAGAGTTGCGCACACTTTTCACGATTCCGCTCCTTTCCCCTCCCAGGTTGGTGTGCCTGAGCAGCGGGTCAAACGCTGTGCTCTTCAGCTGGCAAGTGCCTTGGACTACATGGAGACCAAGGGGTTGGTCCACCGTGACGTCAAACCAGAGAATGTGCTGCTGTGTGATCCCGAGTGTCGGCGCATCAAGCTGACTGACTTTGGGCTGAGCTGCCCGCGGGGCCACCTCATCGAGGCCTTGCCAGAGAGTCTGCCCTACACGGCGCCCGAGTTGTGTGTCCTGGGCCCCAAGGCTCGCCTGGAGGCCCAGCCCAGCCTGGACACGTGGGCCCTAGGAGTGCTTCTCTTCTGTGTGCTCACCGGCTACTTCCCCTGGCTCACGGCTGTGCCCGCCGACCGGCATTACCGCACTTTTGCCTGCTGGCACCGCAGCCCTCGCTTTGCCCCACGGCCACCTCACTGGGAGCGTTTGACGCCCCCAGCACTGGAGATGCTGAAGGGCCTGCTGATGCCCAACCCTGCTCACCGTCACCCTGCCAAGGAGGTGATGAATTATATCAAAGCTCCTTGGTTGTTGCCAGAGACCCAGAGCCGGGTCTGGCCCAGCAGGGACCATCTTTTGGGCACTAGTCGGCGGTGCTGAGAGACAAGGCCAGATGAGCAGACTTCCCCTGTAGTCATTGAGGGACCAAAGACACCCATCACCAAACTAGACACTTCCTCCACCTTGGGGATGAAGAGACCCTCAACCCAGCCTGGAAAACAGAGAAAAGACTGCGTCCTCCTCAGAAGGGCCGAGCCAACCGCCAGGGCAGGGATGGAGGAGCTGACTCAGGGGACCATTCCCTCCTATGTGACTTCATCTTGTCAGGGACGACCGCCCTGCTGCCCAGTGTCCTAGCCCAGCTCTGTATCAGAAACTCAGACACTGATTTCAGCCTCTCCTTGGTCAGTAGCTGACTATATGATCCTTGAAAGAAAGCCTCGTGGGAAGGAATCAGATGAGGCTACATTTAGTGGGCCCAAATGCCTGGACATTTCCTACTACCTCCCTGAGATCAGATGGACTAAATGTCCATAAACTTGCTTCTGGATGAACGGGATGGAAATGAATTGCTCCTCCTCTACCACAAGAACAGCTAGAATGATTCAGTATCTTCCCAGTTGTCTACGGACCCTTATCCAAAGCCAGTCGTGCTTCGCAACACTGTGGGCATTGATCGTGGATGCCAACAGGCATTCATACAGCTCTTAATCCGAGCCAGTTTGGAGCGCTTAAAGATGTTTTCTCCTGAAAGTTAGGAGGTGATTGTGAAAATGCTTTGCCTGGACTCAGGGCTGGAGAGCTACCAGGAGCAGTTTGGTTTGGACAGAGCTACCCAGAGGTTTGAGACTGACATTTCTGTGACTCTAGCACTGCCTTCCTGTAGGCATGTTTACAAGCTGCTGTATTACCTGCTCAACGTGTACATTTGTAAATAAAGAATTGTTATGAAATTATGACCCTCTCAGTCACAAGTGCTCTCTTTCCTAAAGGAAACAGTTCCTGTAACTATTGCTGATAACTCCCCCCCACACACACACACACTGCTTGCAGAAGTGGGAGTGTAAACTTTCAGTCAAGCTGACAAAACAATGTTAAATATAAACCAAGCCATGAAATCCAGCTCTTCTTACTACCTGGCTTGCAATCAGATCCTTATAGAATCATAGAATCAAAGATTTGGAAGGGGCCGCACTGGCTATCTAGTCCAGCGCCATGGTCAATGCAGGATTAGCCTAGTACGGGTGTCCAAACTTCCTTAATGTTAACAGCCACACAGAATAAACGTCAGATGTTTGAGAGCTGCAATACATGAACAAATACGACACATGCATTTTTATTGGAAAATATGCAAATTTGCTTTTTAAATGCGACGTGTGGCCTAATAGGCTAATAAGTTTCTGCGGTTGGGTGTGGCCTATTATGCTAATGAGTTCCTGCTGGGCTTTTTGTACAAAAAGAGCCCTGCGACAAGTGTTATCAAGTGATTATCAACTACCTTCCTACTGCCCTTCCTTCCTTCAGTTGTCTCTTCCCAATAAGCTTCTCAGGAGCAAGTCACACTTTTATAAAGTCTCAGTGGCCACCAGACAGATTTCTATCCAGTTCCAAGTGCACTGGATCCCCATTCCAAATGGGATGCGATAACAAAGGCAGGAAAGTCTTAAGCTTTCCCCCTGCACCATTTCCCCCACCTGAGCTGGGCTTCCATTTGCACAATTATGTGTAGCCATCAGAACTTCTGACTTTTCTCCACAAGGCAAATATTGATGTCCAGGGATGGTTTCAGGCCAGGCAAATGTCACAAAAGGAGGGGGGTGCTGCAGTCCCAACCCTAATCAGGCCAATGAGACCTGGAAATTGTGTTCCCAGCCAGGAACCCCAGGTACACATCGGATAGAAAGCCCTTGCAGAAGCCTTGAGGACTTTATAGCATGCAGATTGACCCTAACCCTACCAACCATAGCATACAACCTTTTTTTCTGAACCCCAGTGGGAGGTCTTTCCCATAGCACTCCTGCTCTTTATCCTACTCAGACCCCAAGTCCTTGCTTCTCAGTCATCTGCGTAATTGCCCCCCTCTCCTTCAGCCGTCCATTTTCTAGCCCCTCTTTCCATTTTGCTTTCCAGATCTCACGTCTCAAGAATCAGACACAAATAGCCACCATGACCACCACCAACACCACCACTTTCCTCTTCTTCTAAATAGTGGCAACCATCTTTACAGAACCAAGTAGGTAGAAGAAACTCCAAAATACGTTAAACTAGCTGAGCTGATATCCTGAGATTTCAGGCTGCTGCTTTGCTCTGACCTGGATGGCCCAGGCTTGTCTGATCTTGTCAAATCTCAGCTGCTAAGCAGGGTCAGCCCTGGTTACCACTCAGATGGGAGACCACCAATGAAGTCAAGGGTTGCTGCGTGGAGGCAGGCAATGGCAAACCACCTCTGTTCGTTTCTTGCCTTGAAACTTGTACTGGGCTGCCATAAGTCAACTGTGACTTGATAGCCCTTTCTATCACCATGTGAAAGATGCCCTCCCCCCAACCCAAGATTTCAAGCTACCCTCCTGAGAATGGGCATCAAACCTGAGTGTCAGGAACCAGTAACCCGAGAACCCAAAGAGGTAAACAGTTATCATGTTTGGTTTCCTCCCCAAAGGCTAAACTACACAAAACTGCATGCACACCCGACAGACAGTCTGCTGAACACCACAAGCACAGAGAAGGTGGATTTATTTATTTATTAGTTACATTTATACCCCGCCCTCCCTGCGAACAGGCTCAGGGCGGCTTACAAAGGTCTTGTGGAGCTAACTGTTCCAGATAGCTCAAGCAAGAGAGCCAAACTATATCTTGTGCTGGGGGAAGCTGAAAATCAAAAACAAAAAGGTGTTTCAGTGCGGAGAAAGCTTACTGGAAGGCTCCTCTCACCCCTCCAAGTAGTTTTAGTAAATCTTTTGTGAAGGTTGTTTGCCAAGAATGTGTGTGTGAGAGAGAGAGGAAGAGAGAGAGGAATAATCTTCCTCTCACCCTGGGTACAAACGCCCCCTATAATAACATCAGCTTACAAATGCGAGCCCTCCCAGGTATGACAAACCCTTTTTGAGCTAATATGGCTGTGCTTCTGCAACATGGGAAGCACATGTTTCTTCCGTGCCCCGGAGGCTTTCTGACTTCTCCAGTTGAGTCCAGCATGACGTGAACACCCAAGAGACTCTGTAACCGGAAACGATTATCAAGCAGCCAATTTTTCTTGGCTTCTTCTCACGCACCTGCTAAATATATCCTGATGCAAAAGATGGCCACAGCAGGTGGGTGGGAGAAAAATACTCCCTCCTTTCTTTGCTTCTTCTTTGTTGATTCTCTTCAGGAGAGAGTTCGGATTAGGGGTCATGAAAGTGGGGGGAAGACTTTGTTCAGGACTGATTCCCCCCACGCATACACATGACAGATCCATAGAATTTGGTACCTGCCACAGAACTAAGATCTTTGCAAATCACACACTCATGGAATCAGAACACACAGAAGTTCCTAGCCCAGATCGACATTGAAATAATTTAGTGGCACCACCTGGAGAAACCTCAACAACTGGAAAGGGACTACATAGCATTTCTTAGGTCGCAAGGTCAGATTCCGTGCATTCGCCTGCAGTGCTGGCTAGGGAAAGCAGATGATACAAAAAACCACCTATATGCAAATAGGCTTTCTTTGTATAATAGAGCCAAGACACAGAGTCACACTTCCTTGTAGCATAATTTAGGGAGCTTGTTTTTGTTATGGTTTCAAAGGCGGGGTATCCCAGCTCAGGGCAGGATGAAAGGCGATCGGCAATAGTGTGCAGAAGAAGAAAAAGAGAAGGTGTCTGAAGTGGCCTTGACTTTCAGAAGCCTTATAAGTAGGAGTTGCCAGCAATGTTCCCTCTAAGCTGTGGAGTCTTGGGAGCAAAAATCCTGCTTTGTGAGCTACTGGCATTAAAGTTGTGAGTGAGCCATTTGGCTACTGCATAAATTAGTTTGCTCTGGAGCCATCCTTCCTGAGCTAAGACAAAAATGTGTGAGCCAGAGGCTAAAAACCTGTGAGCTAGCTCACACTAACTCAGCTTAGAGGGAACACTGGTTGCCAGGTTCCAAGTGGGAGTTGGAGTTCTCCCAGAATTACAACTGATCTTCAGATTACAGCGATCAGCTCCTGGAGTTCTCCTGGAGAAAATAGCACCTGTGTGTTGGGGTTAACTGGTGCAGTTAGTCCAGTTCCCATTAGTTAGCAGAATGCTTAAATAAAGCTACAAACGCAGCAACATCACTTCACCAGTCTACCCAGCTTACAAAGCTACACAGAGCCGCGTTGCAAGTTTAACAGAGAAATACCTTCTCTCTTTATTTGAGAAGTGCACTCTTGGATAGGAAAGAGTAGGGA